TCTTTTTTGTAATATATACAATGGTTGAAGTGAGCTTTTGTATGTGTTTCCCCAGTTTTCAACACCATACTTTAAGTATGGTAAAATCAATGAGGAATACAAAATGCGTAGTGCTTTCCCGTCCAAAATATATCTAACCCTTGCCAATATCGATATATTTTTTGCTATTTTGTTCTGAACATATCTGATATGAGATTTCCAGGAGAATTTGTCATCAACTATGACACCTAGAAATTTAATTTCATGTACTCGTTCTATATTAGCGCCCCCAATTTTCAATTGAAGTTCATTATCTAGTCTACGATTCCCAAATACCATAAATTTAGTTTTATCCAAATTCAGAGATACTATATATATATATATATACACCTGATGATCTCCATGTTCTGTGTTATCTGCAGTATTCAGTTGGTTTCATATGTAGTAATGGTCCAACCCACACACAGCGGCACACTCACATACACTAGGGCATGTGTCCTAACTGGAACAAAGGCCCATCTAGCCTGAGTTCCAGTGACACACTTTTACAGAATGAAATGACCCATCTTTTACTCTCTGCTCTTTACTTATTTCACCTTCTATCTCATCTTCTTTAACAACAGCAGATGTGTGTGTGCTGGGTGTGGTGACCTTATTCTTGTAATTGTACAATGACGCTGCAAGTGAAGCAGAGCACAGACATGCACCCACAGCAGTCTGACTTAACAGCTTCCCTCCACACATAAAAAAAGACAGTAAACACTCAATAACTTTCAAATATTCGTTTCAGCTGTTTTTTGGCTGGTGTTTGTTGCATTGTCTCATGTGGTAAAAACCCAGCTCTTTTGGTCAGCAGGCCAAACCACAGCGCAAATCATTATTTGCACAGTTTTCAACACAGGACCGGTTCTTCTGTGAATCCAGTCTGGCATTATAGTAGCTGATAATAAGTGGTTTCTTCTTCACCTGCCTGTACCTAAGCTTCCTGTGTTGATGATATGTATGTGGCCCGGTGGGGTGGAGATGACAATGTAGGTGTGGAGGAAGTCAAGTGCAGGTGTGTGTGTGTGTGTGTGTGTGTGTGTGTGTGTGTGTGTGTGCTGACAGACTGGCAGGTAAACAGGCAGGTTGTTCTCTGATCTCACCTGTTGGAGCAGACACAGCAGTGTCTGCAGGGCTTCTGCAGCAGAAACATGTTCTTAATGTAATGATGGAAAGCTAGGTCAGATCTTCTTGTCTCTTCTCTTCTTTTCTTTTCTCTTTACCTTTTTCATACGTACTCTGTGATACTCTGTGACATACTAATGATTTGTTCCCCTCTCTTGTCCCAGGTGCATTCTGGTAAACACCCAGGAAACAAGCGTATAGAGGGGAAGGAGGAGGAGGGCACAAGGGGAGGAAGAATGCCTTAGGGTAACCACAGCACAGGTGGGCTGGGGGGTGGAGGGTGACGACTGTGTGTGCATGTGTGCAACGGGAAGATTTTATGTGTGCTTTGAAGAGAAAGGAATGTTATACATCCAGATTATAATAAACCACCCCTATAAACTAAGAGGATGTCAGTTTAACCTGCAAGGCAAACAAACAAACACAGCAACCGTTAAGCATAGGCTTTGCTATGAACTGCCCATCAGACTGGTTTATGTCTCATGTTGAATTGTCCAGTGGAGACCTGTGAATTATTTCTTGCTGTTTATTGTAATTTTTTTCTTTCAGTTTAAGGTCAAGATGCTTTCTTCAACCTTCCCTGCACTACCAGTGTTTTATAGAGCACAGTCTGCTTAGACACAGAGAGGAAGTTGAAGTGCTAATGTAAAAACTAAAGCCCTTAAGGAACAGTTAATGGTAAAATTAATCAATACCTACCTAAAGATTATTCACCATCAGTATATTAGGCACTACAGAGAAGTTTCTGTCCCAGCATGTACTGTACATATGCACCATTACTGCAGGGAAATGTTGCTTAATGTGTTTGGTCATAAATTAACTTATATTAATGATAATGATGGGCAGCACGGTGGTGCAGTGGTTAGCGCCGTTGCCTCACACCGAGAAGGTTCTGGGTTCGGGCCCCTCTTTGTGGAGTTTGTATGTTCTCCCCGTGCTTCCGTGGGTTCTCTCCTGCTTCCTCCCAAAGACATGCAGCTTAGGTTGATTGTTGTCTCTAAATTGCCCATAGAAGTGCGTGTGCGTGTGCGTGTGCGTGTGTGTCTTGTTCGTCTATGTGTTAGCCCTGCGATGGATTGGCGACCTGTCCAGGGTGTACCCCGCCTTTGCCCGATTGCCGGCCGGGATTGGCTACGCCCCCCCTTTACCCCGTTTAGGGACTAAGCTGTAGAAAATGAATGAATGAATAATGATAATGATGTTATTTGGCCAAGTATGTTATACACAAGGAATTTATCTCAGTACAGAACCAAGGCAGCCATCTGTGGCGCCAACTCCAACACACAGTGATGGCACTATCCCTGCAGGGCGCTGCTCTAGCCATCAGGGGCAACTTGGGGTTACATGTCTTGCCCAAGGACACTTTGACATGTAGACTGCAAGCACCATGAATCAAACTTCCAAACTTGTGGTTGGGAAATGACCACTCTACCCCAAAGCCACAGCCGCCCCTAACATGTGTATACACATAACGTGTGTATTTTTGTCCAAAATACCACTTACTGTCTCTCTATATACATTCTTCTTTTGAAGGTAGAGGTTATGATGTGTGTGTGCGTGTTTGTTATTTCGATGAAAACTACTCAACAGTAACGACACAACAGTCTGGTATATTTAACAATATATATTTCCATTGTCAATGTACATTCCATTTTGACATAAGCTTTCTTCACAAACAAAAAGTTGGCATCTAAATAAATACTATATAAAATAGAACTTCAAAATAAATATATCTATAAAGGGAACCTTTTATATGAGAGAAACTTTTCTTTTTGTTAGCACAAATCTTGTTTCTTAATCCCGACAATGACACTGCAAAGGCCCAGCTGCATGAGACCTTTCCTCTTGTTTGGGTTGAAAAAAAAGAAAGAAAGGAATGTGTGCCCAGAAATGAGTGACACAATGGGTACGTGTGTGTAAATGTCACAGCACTGCAAAAAACAAAAAAGAAAAGACAAAGAACAAGAAGAGGAGGAGGACAGGTTTTAATATTTAAGTTTTTGTTGGTGATTATTCCACACCTTGAACAGGCTGGTGAGCACATGTAGAAGAATAATAAAGCTAATATGAAGTGGACAACATGACTCCTTCAGTAACAGAGCTGAGGAATATAAGAAAAGAAAGGCAACAGCTGTTAAAAATAGATGTTGACTGGTTAAAACAATTGTACTGAACACAGAGAAAAACAAAGACAAGGGAAAGCAATGAGAAAGGGAGAGAAAGCGAGACAAACTTGTCTTTTTTCCCCATCTCTGTGGTATGACAAGTTTATGCACAGCAGCTGTGTTAGTCAATCAAGGCCAGTGGTGTTTGTTGGACTAGTTCTCAGGGAGGAAGGAGAGACAAGTGGGACAGGAAAAAAAAAACGAGAAAGAAAAAGAGAGGAGAGGGCTGAGACACTGAGCAGTAAAGGCAGGAAATGGGTTGATCCAGATAGGGGTAGATTGTGTTCCCTGTGTGGATTCACTGAGTCCACAGTCTTTAGGACTCAGGAACCAGGGAATTAGCTTAGCCTCTTGACTGCTAATGAGCCATGGATAGCATAAATAGCAGGACTTTTTTTCTGTTGGGCACACTTTTCTAAATCAAGTGCTAGTGATAAAAAAGACCTGTAATTTTTGTTACCCCTTCCAAAACCTTCCTTTCACCATCCTCCTTCTTTTCTCTTTCTCACAACCTCAAAAACATCTTAGTTTTACCCTCAAAATATATATCTAATATATTCTCTATATATTTTGTACTGAATTGTAGTTATAATGTACCATGCAATCTCTCAAGGACATTTAAAAGTCTCTTCTAAAGAACACAAATGTTGTGAAACTATTTACAGCAAATAACATTTCACCTGCATAGCTCTATTACTAATATATTGTCAAACATTTGTGATTTTTGCTATCCACCTCCACCTTTGCCCAGTCACACAATCGTTTTCAGTTTTGGCACCTTTCTTTCAGACTGAATTGCTAGGTTCTGAAAATATTGCCTCATACATTCAAGACTAACGGCCATATTTTTTTTTCTATGTTATGCCAGTTTTGTGCAACAAGACAAGTATGAGCAAACTCAGGCACCCTAATGGAAGTTGAGGGTCCCACATGAAAGCGAGATGTGTGTTATGGAGCAACAAAGGCAGTATGCCTTTATGCTAAACAGAAAAGGCCATCTGTGTTAAAGGGCAGCATGCCTTTAAGAACCAACTGCCGCCATCTCCATTTGGCAAGAGTGCATAACAACTGTGATCACTCAGACAGTGAAAACATGCTGCTCTAAGCTAGCTTCCTTTGGCAAAGTCCTAAGAACATCATGCAAGCCACAAAAATAGACTTTAAGAATAAAAGATAGAGTCTCTGGCTATGCAGCATAATGATCATGACAACACTGTGTGTGTAAAGAGAGTGGGGTGGGGTGTGTGGACTAAATGTAGTGCATGTTAAAGTGGGATAGCTGAGGTGGTTAATACTGTGCTTTAGTACATCCCTTAAGGGGTTTGCGGCATCCTAAAAAGGTTGTGCAAGTGGCAGGTTTGATTTGGACAAAGGCTGACTAGATACAAACACAACAATAATTTTGCTATGCCTTCCCTTCCCCTCTTCACTCTCTGTCACTTGCATCCTCCCTCTTTTGGAAGCTTTTTTTCCCTCTTGTCAGTTTGTCTCTCACTTAGCTTACTTGTTTTAAATTATTCACTATTGCCTTTATGCCCCTAAATGTTTCTTTGCCTTCTTGTGCAAAGAGGAAGTACATTAGGCTCTTAGGCAGTTTAGAAATCAACATGCTGTAGGCCAAGTTCTAGAGAGGATTACTGGAACAGTCCCTGAGAAGGTTGGGTGTACTTTGTCACACATTTCTCTACAACACATTGACTTCTAGCACTGTAGGTAACCATTACACTAGAGCATGCAGGTCATGACATGCATTACCTCTGAGGTGAGTGGTGAACAGCATTCAAAATCTTTAAGAATGCATGGGCTTCAAACCCCCAAAATAGAAAACACACTGTAACGTGATTATCTCTCTCTCATTTGCAGTACAACTGCTTACACACAATAGAGGGAGAGAATTGTGGGAAATTACTATTCTTTTAAAGTTTCAAAAGTTTTGTTTTTACTGCTCCACCATGGAGACAAAATTGAGATAAAATGTTAGTAATACCAAGCTACCACGTTGAAGGTACAACACTAAGAGATGGTGGTCATCATCATAGTGGAGCGAACGGGTAAGTGGTGGCTTCACTCTGGCAGCGGCCTATCAGAAAACCATACTATAGGTTATTATTTGTTTTCATCATGTTTGTTTAGACAGGGGGACACGGGGCTGTGCTTTTGGGGAGAGCAGGGGTTGTACAGATAATTATCTCCACGATATAACTTTATGTTATCTGAGGATCAGTAACCAGCTTCTGGTTAATTACTGTTACTAAATTAGCTAAGAAATATAGAGCATCAGAGAGGTACAAGGACTTTGTGCCTTCAGCCATCTTTGCAAAACAACACCAAACACTAGTCCCAAAATCCAGTCTTGTATGCTTGTGTCACTTCTCACAAAAAACAACATCTCATAGGCCTGTTGGCTATTCCAACTATCCAGCTCTCCCAGATTAGGCCCATTAGGATCATCCACCCTATCAAGCACAGGTCAGGAAGCCATTTAAGTACCTTTGTTTTACATAAGTCATCTTCCAGCAGATTAATGGGATAGTTTAGGGGGTTGGTGTTGGATTGACCCATCCACAGAGAGTGAGAATGAACTGTGTGGTCCTGTCCATTTTTTAGCAAGCCATTGCCAGCTAGTTTGGTCCAGTATCATGACCCCTGCTGCTGCTTCTCTAGCATCCCAACTTTTGCTTCCACGCCTCCATTTTTACACACAGGGATGCTCGTGCCACCTTGCAAGTTCTTGCAGCGGCAGCCAGGCCTACTAACGTTGTCATAACACTTCTGTCCCAGTTTAGCTAGTCCAATAGCTGGCAGATAGCAAACCAAGCAAGGAAGGACAAGGGAAAGGGCAGCCATGAAGGACCAGCGTGCGCAACAGTTGGTCTGGGAGCATGAGCAGGGTTTGTCGGCACAGGAACCCTCGTCATCCTCATCCTCGGCACAGTGGTAGAAGATCCCTTTCACCAGGCACATGCAGGTGGCTGTATCCACCAGATTCTGAGCAGAGCACAGGCACTCCTGGTTGCAGACCCAGCAAGAGGGTAGGGTTCTGGGGAGCGTACACTCCGTGCAGCGGCACTTCCCGCAGTGCTCACAGAGAAGGAGGTGTTTCTTGTCAGCCAGGGAAGAAGGAATCAGCACTAATCCCTGCTGGCCTCCAGTAGAACAGACACCTCCTGTGGTCATCTTTGTAGACTTGAGGTCCAGTGATTTGGAGGAGGAGGAGCAGGAGGAAGCAGAAGAAGAGGAGGTCAGGACCTTGGATTCAGAGGAAGCGAAGTAGCCTGGAGTTCGGGTAGTAATTGTGTTGACAGTGCCCTGTTGGGGGTGCAGGTTTGGGTGGTGGTCCACTGTTGGGGTGGGTGCAGCATGGTCCAGCAGCTTCTGATCAGATGAGGTGCTGCTGCTGCTGCTGATAGAGCTAGGCCTCCCACTAAAGGAAATCCAAGGATGGGTGGTGCTATCCTGTTGAAGGTGGGGCTCACACCTGCCAGGCTGGTGCTGTTGGTGATTGTGATGATGGTTGTGGTTTGCCACCAGGAAGGCCTCCTGATTCTGACCGAGCCAGGTGATTCTTCGATTTACAGACTTCTGGCTTGAGGGCTGCTGAGAGACCACTGTGGGGCTGTCGATGTAGTCATTTTCCACATGCGAAGATTTTATCTGGTCGATGGGGTAGATGGTGAGGGGGTGCTGCAGGCGGCCGTAGGGCACTCGACTGTCCAGCAGGGGCTGGGATATGAGGGAGGAGGACACTCCGGGGACGTGGTGGGGAACCCTGGACTCCATGTGTAGGCTGGTGCCTTGCACGTCTTCACTCTAAAGCAGCATGTAGCAATACTGCAAGGACAGGTACAAAAGAGATCATTATGACTGGCTGCATCTGCTTTTATGCTGCTCTTGTGCCCATTTGATCCTTTTTAGTAGTCTTATCTTAGACAATAAATAAAGCAAAAGTATATTATGACAAATTACATTCTGATTATTTTACATGAGGTTAATAATTTACAAAAACATCCAAACAATTACAGCCAGGTTAGCTGTGAAGAACAGAGTGTGACTACATCAGAACACATTGCCTTCCTTAGTCTGTCTGTGTTTGTCTTACATGATGAAAAGAAAATATCATTTGCATCTTTACAACACAGTATTTGATCACATATTAGAGTTTAAGTGTCTTTTTTACTGTCTGTGATACATTTCAAAGTTCTTCTGCCTTTCCATGGCCATTGATGATCACCACTGCTTTATTTCTTAATTAAACAACCAACATTACTTTACCCACAGGACCTTTTCTACATGGCTGTACAGTGACTATTCAAGATCGAAAGGGATCGTAATCTATTTCCTGGTAATATACCTTTGTAATTATTTGAATGTAGAGTTTTCAAATGAGCTTGATTTTTAGACTGAATTCCAGCAGGGTTTCAAACCTCCTCCATTCTAAGTTTGACATTAGAACAATAGACGTTGGGCTCTCATCACCTCCCTTCCAAAGAGCAGGGAGCACCAGAGAGCAGGGCTTGCATGCAAAAGACGCAAAGATGCAAAGCAAGGCTGAGCAAAGAGCGGAGGAGGTTGGCAGAAAATGGACTTCAACCAACACAAAATGAACACAAGAGGCAAAGGAAATCAGGTCTTTGTATAGAATTACACCATAATACGACAGCAGCTTATACAATAATGTTATCTTTTGCTAAATTTCTCTCAGTATGCAGTAAGCACACATTTGAAACAGCGGACTCTTGGAATTTGTGAATGACACTGATTTTGTGAACTGCAAGATTTTATGAACGGGAGCTGCTGGCTGCACTCAGTGTTGCAGGCATGACTCAGTGCGCTCCAGCATGAGCCTGAATGAAATGGGTTTCATCTATTTCATCAATGAGGGCAGAGCAGCTGGCAAAACCACAACCTACTTGACAGAAATCAAAACGGGAACTGAAGACAAGTGATGCCGAACAGCTGACATTTCTCTCCCATATTTTAGTTGCCTTATTGAAAAACAGAACCCACAAAAACAAATTCGTTCGGACTATAAGTTGCAGTATGCTTTTTTTTATTACTATTTCACAGCAACGTGAATTTTCCAAGGACCTAAAAAAATTCAGAGTGGCTTATTAACACATATTAACCTGCTTGTTATCTATTCGATTTGAAAATAAGTTAGTAGTGGTCACTATTTTGTATTGTTTGACCATCAGTTCGTCTTATTCTCCTTTTCCTTAATTCCTTAACTGTGCAAAAGCCTGGTTGAGAAACCTGTTGCGACATTGCTGGCACCTACACAATCGCTTGTGATCATCAAATCTAGACCATTATGAGCTCTAAGCCCGGAACTGTGCGTGTTTGTGCGTGCGTGTCTCCCTTCAATATGTGAAAGGACGGAGTCCTAAAAACCAGAGGCTGCTGTCAAATAGCATGTTTATATGGGCACTATAGCCGTGTATTCAATACTTC